ACAGACAACCTCTCGTCAATATGCGTTTTTCGCATTGCATTGCTGCAAAAAACGCATAAAAATCACGACACTAACAGTCCACACGCCGTTTTCAACAAACTGTTTTTGGCAAGGCATATTAATAACAAATTTATAACCCATAAAAGATTTTCTGAAATAGACCACAATTAGTTTCTTTAGTATCCACACTGAATAGCCACGGTGCTCTCCAAGAACAGAATCAAACTAGTAGTTGTTAAAAACATGTTATTGATGACAAATGCATCTTGAAAGCCGTTATGCCCACTGCCACTCCCCTCCCCTCTTCTTCCATTCCTCCTCCCTTCCCTCCCCCCTCCCTGCCTCAGTCCTTACCCTCCTCCTTTCTGTTCCTCTCCTCTTTTTCTGCCTTTTTATCTATTTACAAATACTTCGGTCTTTCATTTCGAACAAGTTGTCTTCCTTGCAAGTTTTACTGGAAATGAGTCATCAAAAAGAAGAAAACCTAATACCGAATGCACGAATTGTTTCTTTCGCAAGTTACCCCAAATTTTTAGATTTTGTTAAGAGAAAGTCCGCTCGTAGTGAAACAAAAACCTTCCTATAATGTCTTAACTTATGCTTTGAAGATTTTGTGTTAAATATCTTGTGGGGCGACTAAATGTAACAGGCATCATGTCGATAAAAATAGGCGTAGTTTCGATAAGGATATCCAGTTCTTTGCCTTGCTATTGACTTCACTTTGAATCTTTTTATGTGCCAGTGTTCTTTTTTGATTTACGTGAGACATCCTTTATTTCCGTCACTTTTGCGGCTTCCGGGGGCGTAACACGTCACTGAGTGTCAGTTTGTTTGTTTTTAAAATTTTGAAAATCACACTAATGGCCGGGGTTTAAAAGGAAAGCGATGGAGCAAATATACATTTAAGTTCGGTCGCTATTTTCTAAAAAACACGCAAATGAAGTCACCTGTCAAGCAGACTTCCTCTGTTTGAGTTTTGTCGAAACGTCCGAAAAATGTTAAACATGTCCTTTTGGTTCATGCAAAAAAAGAATTTTTAAGTGGCAAACGTTATGGATTAAGCCAGCACATTAGCTACGAAATATTTCATGAAAAAATGTTTGCTTTTTTAGCACCCTTCATCGGTTGCGGTGATGGCATTTTACCCAGATTTTCAATGTACCCGGAGACTGGTGCAACTCATTCTTACCAGTCGACGAAAACCAAACACAAATACCATGTCAGCAATGAAGGAATGTGCACATGTTCTCCGACAAGTACTAAACTCACCACAGCATCCCATCGTGAAAACATGGTCTGTTAATTTTGTTTTCTCCCCTAACCCACTCATGCGAGTTGCCTTTACGCTTCCTTTAACAGCTTAATAATAACAAACGGTAGCTACTTGAGGCACAGGCTCTCTTTTATATCGAACAACTTTATTTTATGCATTTTTGCATACTTATGCAAACGCAAAAACACGTATTGTTAAGCGATTGTCTCTGTATGTGTTCGAAGGTGAGTTGACTACTTCACCCAATTTCAATTCCAGAACCAGATAAGCTAGGAAGCTGAAATTTCTGAAACATTTTTCATCCCATATGCAGTCCTTTTGTTTCAAAATCAACGTCCATGGACCCCTAAGTTATACGCACAGATGCCTGGAAGAAAACGCAAAAAGACTTCGGGAAAAATGGTTTCATGAACTAATCAATGTAGGAAGCGTAAACTTTGCGAGGATGTATCCCTCACATATACCACCTAAAGATTTCATATTTCGCTATCACATGTACCTACACCACGTCAAAGCTAGTTTTTGGCAATCCGCAAGCTCAGAAATTAGCTGTAGAAGGTAGCTGTAGTTTTGTGCGAATATTTATTATCCATTTGAAGGCTCGCATGCCTAAATTGAGTTTTGGCTGCACTTGCATTACGTTTTAGGGCATATCAATGCCGTGGCTAGGAAACTTAACCAATTTGCTGCCAGTTGGTTAGTCAAAGTGGCGAATACTGGGAACTCTCTAACATGTCGCACTGGTTGGTTTGTGAGCCGTCCTCAGATTTAATACAACCGCTGGGTAGCACTGGCTATGAATTCGAAGTTTTGTTAATTTACATTTTACTGATTACACAAAAAATCGTCCTGACACTGCGTCTCTTCTCTTTCTCTCTCTCTCTCTCTCTCTCTCTCTCTTGCCACTTATCCTCATCAACGCTTTCCACAGCAGTTAATCGAAAGAAGGTACACTCGTGTCTTAATTTGCGCGACTATTTGTTTCTAGAGTTCAGATACATATCTTTTACTTTTCAGGTGCCTTGAAATTATCAAAATTGTGAGCAGTTGCATGGTAAGTTGCTTAAAAGTTTACGTTTCAAAAAAACCCACTGCAACATCATTGCTGAGAGTAAGTGCTTAGAAAAACGGCAGCTGGGAAAATATTTTAAGCGATTTGTCGACCAGGCTTGGATATTGCGAACCACTACCAATCTAAGCAGTAACAAATGAAAGTTAAATAAAAGTTGTGCTGCGCAAGTATTTTTCGTAAATTTTTGGTACTTTTTGAAGTTGTTGGTTTCCCTGCAACATTTAGGAACCGGTTGAAGAAACAGCTGTGGAAAATGAAGAGCGTATCAACGACGATTATTTGGAAGTACGTTTTCTCACGACAAAAGATTGATTAAGCATTCAAGCACCATTTGGCAAAGAATGATTGAAGCGAGTTGCAAAAATTATCTTACACAAAATGATTACTACAAAAAGGTTTCGAGCCGTACTAATTGGATTTCATGCGCCTTCCGTTTAGGCATATGCAAAAATACGCATATCTCTGTATGTGTTTCGTAAACTCGGATATCTGCTCCAGTTTTCCAGCTCCACCTTCAAATAAGTTAAGAGGAAATTTAGAATGCCTAATCTCCGATCCCGCACAAGTTTAAAATTGTGGGATCTGTTTGTCGCGCTCTGCTCCTTATAGATGCACAGTGTGACTCGTACAGAAGTTGCGTATTTTCAACTTTTCCATCACCAGCAAATGTACATATGCAGCTGTGCAGTTTTAATTATGCGTTTTTGCATATATGCAAATGCAAAAACGCATACTGGCAAGAGGCTGTTTGTGTGTCTGTATGTTCGCACTTTTTGTCACCCATTTTCAACTCGAGAACCAGAAAAGCTAGAAGGCTGAAACTTCGGGAGTATGTGCTTACATTATACGCGACCCTCCTGTTCCAATATCATCACCCGTGTACACCAGGATGCCGCGTACGAACACCTTAAATAAATATGCAAATTTTTTGGCGGGAAAGCGATTTCGGGAACCAGAGAAGAGAGCGAGCTGAAAGTTTGTAGCGATATTCTCTATACATCCGTGAGCTAAACTTTCCAAATTCGGCTCTTAGTTTGGTTCACAAATACGAGCACGAGGAAGTTTTGGCGGGAAAATTGCTAACTCGGTAACCAGGAAAGCTGGAAGGCTGAAATTTTAAGGGGGTCTTTCCTACCCATGTACAATTTAAAGATTTCAAATTCACCCCTCAGGTACTCGTGGCACTCACGTACGAGCCCATGAAAGTTCTGGCAGGAAAATTGCTAACCCGGGAACCAGAAAAGCTGGAAAGATGAAATTTTAGGGCAATATTCCTTGTATAAATACAAGTTGAAGGTTTCAAACTCAGTCTCCAGGTATGCGTGGCTCTCGTGTACGGGCAGTTAAATTTTTTGCGAGGAGATTGCTCATTGAACAACTAAGTCATTTTCAAAGAACGGCTGCTAAAGGGAAATTGTTTATTTTCGTTCGTGCAAAATTTGCGATGATTTATGGTAGCGTGTGCACAATGTGAATGTGAAGTAACAACCATTTATGCAGCTGGCCTAACTGCTTTAAGTTTAGTGCAAAAACGCATGTTTGCACCAACAACCTTGATCCGTTCCAAGCTGAGTTAAATTCTACATCAGCCACATATTCTAGTGAACAAAGTACGCAAAAAACTAAAAGTGATACACAGCAGAGGGCCTGTGCATGCTTGTATATGCTCTTTGTGCGTACTGCTTTTGATCGTTTCTGTTCGTTAAAGCAGTATAGGTAGCTACTAGTTCGGGATGCGGAACTTTCAACCCATAAATCCTGCGAATAAGCCAAAACCATTTTTTGTCACACTGTCATATCACCAGTCGAAATAAAACTACTGTGGGCTGCTTTCCGTTGTTCCGTTGTTCTTGTACACGTAATTTCTCCTTTAACGTCAGCTAAGTAGCAAAAGAACTTTGACGCCGGCTTATTAATAAAGGCTTGGTTTGGCATCTTTTTTAGCTTCAAGATCAAATAGTCTGTGGATTACTTCCTTGCACAAAAGAAGATGCTGCTCAGTTAGCTGGTATACAAGTCTGTATTGAAGAAAACTGGCCAAAAAACAAACGCACTCAAACGTTTCGCCGTCATTTGCTTCGCGGTCAAATTGGTAGGTGGTTCGCTTGGAGAAAAATACGTTCTGTATAAAAATTTGTTGCAAGTTTTAAAAGTACTAAAAATTTATTTACAAATCAGGCGTATTTCAGGAAGAATCAGAGAACTAGCGCAGAAAATAATGGTTACGCCTTGGGAAGTTGACCAAACGTTGTACTGTGCTCCTCCAACGCAACGTGATAGCGAAACTCTTACACTGTAAATTTTTAATCAAAGTAATGAGGCTAGTAATATATTTTTTAAAATCTCTGATGCAACACTATCGCAAATGGACCTCATACTGTTCTAGACAGCCCTGGGATCAGAGATTTCATTTACAGTAGTTCAAAAAAGCAATCTAAAGCAGAAAAGCAAGCGGTGTTTTTGCATTATTTCGCTCTTGAAGAAGGTAACAACCTTAACGCCGTTGTTCTTAGCCACCTCAGTACAAAACGGAGAAAAATTTTTATATCGGACAGTGCCCAGTGCGATGCAGTTAGCTCCTACAATGAAGCATCTAATACTGCTGAGTTTTTTCTAGTACCATTTAACTATGCTAATATTTTTAGTGCGAAGAAGAAAGATTCTCCAGCGTTGCCGGAACGTTCTAGAACAGCAAAATTTATGAAATGTTTTGATGATCCAGGGTCGTTGATATCACTTGAACTGCAAGAGCAATGTTTACCCGTCGAATACCGTTGTGACCGGAGGACACTGAGGCTAGTACAGGTATGCCTTCCTGCAGTTTGGGCTGGTCTCTTTATTTTTCGCACGTAGGAATTTTAACACTGGTTACAAAGGAGTTTTGTCATTGACTTTGTTTCTTGTAGATATCTTGAGATTCTAGGATAGGAAGCGAAAATTATTTCACAGTCAAATCTATGAGGACGAACTGGGAATGAAGAAGCTGTACATTCAGGTTTGCTTGTCACACTTATCTGCTGCAGTTTTCATTGGAAATAATAAATGTCATGCTTTAGCTTGTTTCAGCAGAAAAATTTAACAATTAGCCTTAAACAACACTCGTTGCCAAATTTGGATGGGAATGTTGTTTCACCGGCTGTTATATTACGTGCATGCATTTCTTACGATCTACCGCTTTATTTGTGTTTGACAAATACTTATGCGTTTTTGCAGCTATGCAATGCAAAAACGCATATTGTCGAGGGGTTGTCTGTGTGTGTATGTATGTGT